ATGGGGTTTCTCCATGATGGCCAGGCTGGTCTTGAACTCCTGACCTCAGGTCATCTACCCACCTCGGCCTCCCAAAGTGCTAAGATTACAGGCGTGAGCCACCACGCCCAGCAGAAAAATTTTAAAAGGAAATTTCTTGTTGTAAAATACAAAAGCTGTACAGAGGCTATAAATAAACGATTGCCCCATTTATGTTGCCTACCCAGTCCTCAAAGATGGCCATTGCTGGGTTGTTTTTTTTTTTTTGGCAGGGGGGCCATTGCTGTTTGACACCTATATTCTTCAAGATGTTTTCTGTGTTTAGACTTCACATTTATATATATGAACATAATTTCTGCCATATTCAGAATAATTTTGAACACTGTTCTGCTACTTTTTTAACTCCCCAAAATGTATTGTGGATATCTTTCTATGTCAGTACATAAGCATGATATTAAGTGCTATCTATATATTGATGATTCTCAGTGTATTTACATTTTCAGCTCAGACTTCTCTTCTGAACTCCAGACATATAACAACTATCTACTTGACACTGACATAACCATCCTGATGTCTCACAGATTCTTTTTCTTTTTTTTCCCCAAGATGGAGTCTTGCTCTGTCACCCAGTCTAGAGTGCAGTGGCACAATCTCGGCTCACTGCAACTTCTGCCTCTTAGGTTCAAGCGATTCTCCTGTCTCAGCCTCCTGAGTAGCTGGGATTACAGGCACCTGCAACCATGCCCAACTAATTTTTGTATTTTTAGTAGAGATGGGGTTTCACCATGTTGGCTAGGCTGGTCTCAAACTCCTGACCTCAAGTGATCCTTCCACCTCGGCCTCCCAAAGTGCTGGCATTAGAGGTGTGAGCCACGATGCATGACCTCACAGATTCCTTTTTTTAAATTGGAGACAGGATCTTACTCTGTTACTATTCAGGCTGGAGTGCAGTGGCACAATTATGATTCACTGCAGCCTTGCCTTGCCTCCCCAGGCTCAAGCAATCTTCCCACCTTAACCTCCCAAGTAGCTGGGACCACAGGCACACACCACCACCCCCAGCTATTTTTTTTTTGTAGAGAGGAGGTCTCACCATGTTGCCCATGCTGGTTTCCAACTCCTGGGTTCAAGTGACCCACCCACCTCTGCCTCCCCAAGTGCGGGGATTACAGGTGTGAGCCATTGTGCCTGGCCTTGTCTTACAGATACTAAACACAGAATGGCTTAAACCTGCTACTCCTGCAGGCTTCCTCTCCTCACCATTCACCTATTTGCTGCAGCCAAAAACCTCAGAGTCATTCTTGTCTTCTCCTCCTGCAATCAATCCTATTGACTTGTTTTTTCTACCTCTGCGATATATCATCAAATTGTTCTTCTGTCTTCATCTCTACTGCCACTAATACTCCAGCTGGCCTGATTTACCGCAGTCACCTCCTCATGGGTCTTCCTGCTTCCATGTTGGCTTCCCCCGGACAAGCCACTTTCCTGAGTGGCTAATTGTGATTAACAACAATGACAACAACAAACAGATTATGTCAGTTACTTCAATTATTTTCTACTGTACTTGAAAAAAATCCAAATCCCCTGTCATTGCCTAGAAGAGCATACCTGGTCTAGTCCCTGTCCCTCTCCCAGTTTCACCTTGGACCTTTCTGCCCTCGTTTACTGTATTCCGTCTTCCATGGTTTCAGCCCCATTTTCTCAAAAGGCCAAGATGTGTCTCTACCTCCAGGTCTTTGTCCAGTCCAACGCCTCTATTAGAATTCTTTTCCTTTCCGTTCTTCAGTCTGGCTAACTTCTCCCCATACTACAGGTCTTGGTTAAAATGTCACTTTTTTTTTTTTTGAGTTGGAGTCTTGCTCTGTTGCCCAGGCTGGAGTGCAATGGCACGATCTCAGCTCACTTCAACTTCCGCCTCCTGGGTTCAAGCAATTCTCCTGCCTCAGCCTCCCGAGTAGTTGGGATCACAGGCCCCTGCCACCATGCTAATTTTTATATTTTTAGTAGACATAGGGTTCCACCATGTTGATCAGGCTGGTCTTGAACTCTTGACCTCAGGTGATGCACCCGCCTCCACCTCCAAAAGTCCTGGATTACAGGTGTGAGCCACCGTGCCCAGCCTAAAATGTCACTTTCTTAGAAAGGTTCCTCTCTGATCTCCCCTCCAATCTAACTTAGATACCAATATTACTTTCTCTCACAACCCAATCTTTTTTTTTTGTTTTTGAGACACAGCCTCACTGTCACCCGTGCTGGAGTGCAATGGCATCATCTAGGCTCACTGTAACCTCCACCTGCCAGGTTCAAGCAATTCTCCTGCCTCAGTCTTCTGAGTAGCTGGGATTACAGGCACCCGCCGTCACGCCCGGCTAATTTATGTGTTTTTGTAGAGATGGGGTTTCACCATGTTGGTCAGGCTGGTCTTGAACTTCTGACCTCAGGTGATCTGTCTGCTTCAGCCTCCCAAAGTGCTGGGATTACAGGTGTGAGCCACCAAGACCAGCCAATAACCCAATCTTTACCTAATTTTTATTACCATTAGTGTTTTGGTTTAGTATCTTTTCATCTAGACTGAAAACTGTGAGGAACCATTTGGTTTCTTTGCTGTATCCCTAACACCTGGCAAGGTCGTAGTATAGTGAAAATGCTTAACCCATAAGTGTTGAAGTCCAGGCGCAGTGGCTCACACCTGTAATCCCAATAGTTTGAGAGGCTGAGGTGGGTGGATTGCTTGACCTCGGGAGTACAAGACCAGCCTGGGCAACATGGTGAAACCCCATCTCTACTAAAAATACAAAAATTAGCAGGACGTGATGGCATGTGCCTGTGGTCCCAGCTACTTAGGGGGCTGCGGTGGGAGAATCGCTTGAACCTGGGAGGTAGAGGTTGTGATGAGTAGGATTGCCATTCTGTCTCCCCCCAAAAAAAAAAAAAAAACATGCCTGTAATCCCAGCACTTTGGGAGGCCGAGACAGGCAGATCATGAGGTCAAGAGTTCAAGACCAGCCTGACCAATATGGTGAAACCCGGTCTCTACTAAAAATACAGAAATTAGCTGGGCGTGGTGGTGCACACACCTGTAATCCCAGCTACTTGGGAGGCTGAGGAAGGAGAATCACAAAAACAAAAAAAAGTATTTTATTAATTGATAAGTGAAAACTAGGTGCAAGTATAGGAGTTTATTAGAGACCAAAGTGGGCAAAGGCAGATTTTTCTCAGTCCCTTTTTCCCCAAAGGCTGTATTTTGTACTTTCCTTCTGATTTGTTGCATTTTGGATCCACCTGCAACTTAAACCTGATGTTGGCCAGGTGTGGTGGCTCACGCTTGTAATCTAGCACTGTGGGAGGCCAAGGCAGGTGGATTGCCAGGGCTCAGAAGTTTGAGACCAGCTTGGGCCATGTGATGAAACCCCATCTCTACTAAAACACAAAAATTAGCCAGGTGTGGTGGTGCACACCTGTAGTCCCAGCTACTGGGAGGCTGAGGCAGGACAATCACTTGAACCTGGGAGGCAGAGGTTGCAGTGAGCTGAGATGGCTCCATTACACTCCAGCCTGGGCAACAGAGTAAGAGTCAATCTCAAAAAACAAAAACAAAAGCAAAAAAAACCCCTGATGTTAACAAGAATGTGGACATTGATGAGGTTGTATACAAAGTGCAGATAAGGTGGACAAATTGAGGCCAAATCAGATTTGTTTTGAGACGTGGTTTCGCTCTTGTTACCCAGGCTGGAGTGCAATGGCGCGATCTCAGCTCACCACAACCTCCGCCTCCTGGGTTCAGGCAATTCTCCTGCCTCAGCCTCCAGAGTAGCTGGGATTACAGGCACACGCCACCATGCCCAGCTAATTTTTTGTATTTTTAGTAGAGATGGGGTTTCACCATGTTGACCAGGATGGTCTCGGTCTCTTGACCTCGTGATCCACCCGCCTCAGCCTCCCAAAGTGCTGGGATTACAGGCGTGAGCCACCGCGCCCGGCCCCAGATTTGTATTTTTAGTAGAGACAGGGGTTCACCATGTTGGTCAGGCTGGTCTGGAACCCTTGACCTCAGGTGATCCACCCACCTCAGCCTCCCAAAGTGCTGGGATTACAGGTGTGAGCCACCGCGCCCAGTCAAGATTATCTTCATAACCTAGAAAAATGGAAATGACTCCAAGATGCTTTAGAAGGCTGCGCATTTTCCTCCTTTGAGGCAAGAAAAGTACAGACTCCCTTTGCTGCACAAGCAGGCACTGCCCCATTGCCTCAGGAGCATCTGTCAGCTGAAGGCATCCCATCTCCAACCTTGGAGTTGAACTCCACCTCCACCCTTAACCCCATCCTCAGAGACCCCACCTCCACAGACACACACACATACACACACACACACACAGAAGGCTGCTGAGGGTAAATTTAATAAGGTATTAGCTGGCTCTCACTTCTTGGGGTTAGAGGTCAAAGAGAAAGGGCATCACATCTGTAAGAAAAGGAGAGAGTTCAGGAGTTTATGCTTCACAGTTGCTGTTTCCTAGACCTGGGATGCTCTCTCATAGCAGGTGATCTGTTTCTCTCACTCATGGCTCAAATGCCACCTCTTCTCTGAAGCCTCCCTGCACTGCTCCAGGGAAAGTGTAAGTCCTCTTTGCACATAACCTCTATTACTGTACTTCTCACGTTGTGTGCTCACTATTGCCTAGGCTGCTGGGCTTGGTAAGGCCAGTTGCACCTTAGTTGTTTGCCCATGGATTCTTGCCACATTACCTCCCATACTGGTGGGGGAGGTCTCATCTCAGGCAGGCATCACTGAGGGTCTCAGATCACTGCTAATCTGTTTCTTTTCTTTTTTCTTTTTTCTTTTTTTTTTTTTGAGACAGAGTCTCACTCTGTTGCCCAGGCTGGAGTGGAGTGGCATGATCTCAGCTCACTGCAACCTCCACCTGCCAGGTTCAAGCAATTCTCCTGCCTCAGCCTCCCAAGTAGCTGGGACTAACAGTGTGCACCACCATGCCCAGCTAATTTTTTGTATTTTTAGTAGAGATGGAGTTTTACCGTGCTGGCCAGGTTGGTCTCAAACTCCTGGCCTCAGGTGATCCATCCACCTCAGCCTCCCAAAGTGCTGGGATTACAGGCGTGAGCCACTGCACCCCACCTTATCTGTTTTCTACAGAAGATGCCCCCCATGGTGTGACCCAGGCTTCCACATCCAGCTTTGGGTCAGGAACTTCAGGTCTCCTCCCCTTGGGCCCACGCACGACAAGGCTTCACACCTGGCTGGCTCATGCACTGTTGGATACTTTCCAGCCGAGTGGAAGCCAAGGCTCGGGCCTCCTCCGCAAAGCGGCGGTGTCCCTCCTCGGTCAACTTCCAGAGGCAAGATCGAGGCCGTGTGCTGGCCCCACCCTGCATGCTGCTGACAGGCACTTTCTCAAAGCTGTCTCGGAAACAGAGATTGTGACGGACGGTATTCTTCCAGCCTTCTGGGGCCGTCCGGAAAAAGGGGAAGTGCTTTCTGCGGACAGAGAGGAGAGGTAAGGAAAGGCATGATATGTTTGGGGAATGCCCTTTTCTGGAGCATGTTCTACCCAGGGGTGAGGGGCCTCAGCCCTTCTCTCCAGGGGAATAGTAGCAAGTTGGCCTGGAGCTGCTCTTTGCTGACTGAGCACATGGCAAAGCGTCCACATGGTGCATAGCTCACCTGAGCCCTCCCTCCGAGGGCCCAGGGCTTGGACCACAGCATGAACAAAGCAGAATCAGGCCAAGCAGCTCCTGTAAGAGGAATCTTGGTTGAGGATGGACCACTTGAGGATTTGTATCCTGAGACATGAGGCACTTCTCCTAACACTGGGAAAGGGCCCAAGAAACTCCCTTCCTTATACTCCTGTGTGCAGAACTATCTGAGCTAAATGGAAAACCCTTCTCAACTAAGCTCCCTGGCCCCTAGGGGTGCAAGTTGCTGTGCCAGGCAGTCCAGTTCTAGCAGAGGCAGGTGCGGAACTGTTGGGGAAACCTGACTTTAGACTGGCTGATCATCAGAGGGATGGTGGGGAAACTGTTACCTGACCCAGGTGAATTTATATCTTAAAAGAGAACTATACCCAAAGAGCACTGAAAACTAATTAAAAAAAAAAAGGGAGAACAAAAAAAAAGAACAAAAGCCATAAAGGTTGGAGGATTTTTTAGATGTGAAAGGGGGTGGGAATGGATATGTTCTTGTACATATGTGGGGACAACGGAGCCCGGGAAAAGGGAACTGGGAACATGCTCCTCCTCTCAGACCCAGATAGGGAACCCAGAGCCTGGGATGGATTGGAAGGCATCAGCCTGGGGCCCTGGCCCCCACTTCCCCCTCCTCACAGGGCCCCCGGCACATACCGAGTGAAACTGTAGATCTGTTGCACGTTGAGGCCACAGGGGGAACTGTTTCTTAATGCCAGGGCAATTAGGTGGAAGTAATTGAGAGGGGGCCGGGACCAGAGCCTCCCCGCCTGGCTGCTGGCTTGCCGAAGCCTCCGATTCTGGAGGGGGGCCCTTTTGTGAGGGGATGGGAGAGCCACAGAGGAGCTGTCTTCCTGGTCCTCAGCCTCCTCCTCTTCTGTGAGCTAGAGGAGCACAGAGTAGGAACTGGTCCTGACTCCTCGGCCTCTACTCCAGGGTGCAGTGGCAGGAAGGGGGGTGGTCTAGGGCCACCATCTGGGCTTCTCCCCAACCCAAGCATGTAGGTAAGTTTCTGAACCCATTCACCTTTTGCTATGGCTTAGAGAGCAGAACTGTGATGGCTCTTCCCATGCCCCTTACCTACTGCCCAAGTCCGGCTCCCACCCCCAGAAATCCATACCTCCCAGATGCTGGGGGAAAAGGCAAACCGCTTCCGAGGGGGCGACCACTCGCTGGAGGACCTGGACAGCGATTCCCCCCCCGTGGGCTCTGAGCAGCTGACATCTTCCTCCTTCTGGAATGGCTGAGAGGAGGGGAGTGTGCTTGTCAGATCCTCCGTCTTTGTAAGTCCTGGGACCTCCAGCTTTCCAGGGGGATACACGATGTTAGGGTTTACCCACATCCACAGGTTGGGCTCATAATCTGGACCTGTGCAGAACAAAAGAAGATTGTATGCCACAGCCCACTGGCTTAGGGTGCCCCTGGTCTCCAGCCCAGGCCACAGAAACACATCAGAGAACTCAATACTTACCATCCTTATCAGGGTTGGGTTTTTTCTCTAAGGGTAATTTTGGTGGCTTAACAATTCGGAGTTTATACCTGGCAACTGGCAAAAAGAAAGAGAAAGTCAAAACATCCTGGGATATCCCTTTGTGACCCTAGGATTCTAGACCTTAAGTCTTCTCTGGGAGAAGGTTGTGGACCTTGCCTGGGGAGTTTATATCATATTCTACTGGTTTTCCCTTTACCTCTCTGACGTTCTCATTCCCCTCTGCATTCGTTTCTTCTCACTCTATATATACCGTCCCTGAATGATCTCATGCATGCCTGTGGCTTCAGTTAACACCTATAAAAAAATGCAGAGCTCTCAAATTTTTACCTCTAGCCTAGCCTTCTGTGCTAGCCTTTAAGGAGAACTGCCTACTGGATATCTTTACTTGGGTAGCCCACAGGCACTTCAAACTTGTTTCTAAAACTGAATTCCATCTTCTTGCTCTTCCTTCTGTATTCTTGTTTTCTTTTGAGACAGAGTCTCACTCTGTCGCACACACTAGAGTGCAGTGGTGTGCTCAAGAGATCCTCCCACCTCAGCCTCCCAAGTAGCTGGGACTACAGGTGCATGCCACTATGTCCAGCTGATCTTTGTATTTTTTGTAGAGATGAGGGCCTCACTATATTGCCTGGGCTGGTCTCAAACCCCTGGGCTCAAGCTATCGTCCTGCCTCGGGCTCCCAAAATTTTGGGATTACAGCCATGAGCCACCATGCCTGGCCTTCCTATAATATTTTTTTTTAACAACTGGTAATCAATTTATCAAAATAGCTGACTTAAGCATCTGCAACAGTGACTTCCACCTCAACTCCTGGCTCAATACTGATGGAAGTAATCTACTTAACAATCTTAGAAGGACTGTGCAAGTCAATGAGTCGCTTGTGGATCCTCATCTGGAAATGATCCCATGTCTTAGAACCTTCATCACAAGGAGTTTTTCTTGTAGTGATCTCAAAGTCTTGGTAGGCATTCAAACTGGTCCTTTCACTTTTGAGATTCTTTTCCTTTGCTCCTCTGATCAAGTCAGCACACTCCGTCTCCAGTGATTTTACGTTGCGGCTCGTAAGAGTGATTCAAATTTGGTGAACTGCCAGCTCTGGCTCCATGAGTTTTTTTCAGTATCCTTAAACACCTTGGCTGCTGTGCGGCTTCCTGACCAACTTGTTCCTCAGGAGAGTGAACAGTGGTAAGCCAGGAGCAGGAGCGAGCGGATCCACAATCTGCAACAACTAGGACCATGTCTTCCTCTAAGAGTTCCTGTAATCGGGCCGGGCGCAGTGGCTCAAGCCTGTAATCCCAGCACTGTGGGAGGCCGAGGCGGGTGGATCACGAGGTCAAGAGATCGAGACCATCCTGGTCAACATGGTGAAACCCCGTCTCTACTAAAAATACAAAAAATTAGCTGGGCATGGTGGCGCGTGCCTGTAATCCCAGCTACTCAGGAGGCTGAGGCAGGAGAATTGCCTGAACCCAGGAGGCAGAGGCTGCAGTGAGCCACGCTCACGCCATTGCACTCCAGCTTGGGCAACAAAGCCAGACCTTGTTTCAAAAACAAAAATACAATCTTTGCTATTTATTGAACTCGTCTCCAGCAAATTTGACTTCTGTTCTACTGTAGACACTCCCTCAGTCATAGCCTAAACCAACAACTGCAACCTCTCTGTAACCTCATTTATGCACCATATAAAAAGGTACCACCCAGCCGGGCGTGGTGGCTCATGCCTGTAATCCAAGCAGTTTGGAGGCCAAGGCAGGTGGATCACCTGAGGTCGGGAGTTCAAGACCAGCCTGACCAACATGGTGAAACCCCACCTTAAAAAAAAAAAAAAAAAAGGCACTACCTTGTGTCTTTCTGGCTTACTCCCTCAACCCCAGCTAAGATCCCACTGAGATCAGCAGTCCACTGAACTGTGGTTTTGGCACACTTGTTTGGCAGAGCTGGATTTAGTCAGGGTTGTGGTTTGGCCAACAAGGTGCTCCAAGGAACCTGCATAGTATTTAACCATGGGATTCACGTTAGGTGAATAAGGGTGGACACATCAAGTGAAACAGTGAAAAGGTGACAGGATCAATGGACTGGTGATCTCAGTGCAAACCAAGGATAATGTCTCTGTATGTCTGTGTTTTGCTTTGGCACAGATAGCCCCTGAGCTTTTTCAAGGAAAAAGTTCCACAAATCTTCCTCTCTCTTTCCTGTGTCCCTAATTTTTGTCTTTGTTGGATCATTCTCTTCAGCATGCAAACTTGCTGTTAATTCTCCCATTTTAGGGACCAGGTGCAGTGGCTCATGCTTGTAATTCCAGCCTCTTTTGGAGAGCTGAGGCTAGGAGGATCACTTGAGCCCAGGATTTTAAGGCAACTCGAGTCTGCAGTGAGCTGTGCTGGTGTCACTGTACTCCAGCATGCGCGCCAGATGGAGCCCCTGTCTCTAAAAAACAAAAATAAAGAAAAAAATTCTCCCATCTTGTTTCCTGTTGAGGCACAACACATTGCTTCTACTTTGTCTCTACTTCTCCTCCTTCCATTCTTTTATTTTATTTTTTAAAGATGGGGTTTCACCATGTTGGCGAGGCTGGTCTCAAACTCCCGACCTCAGGTGATCCACCTACCTCAGGTGATCCACCTGCCTCAGCCTCCCAAAGTGCTGGGATTACAGGCGTAAGCCACCGCCGGCCCCTCTTTCATTCTTAAGCCCCCTCCAGTCAGGTTTTTCATTCTACCACTTACCAAAACCACTAACCAGGGACCTCTGCTTAGTTAAATCCAGTCGTCACTTATATTCTATTCATCGACCATCCCCTCCTTGAAAGGCTTTTTCCACTTGGTTTCCAGGACACCACAGCCCCCCTAGTTTTGATTCTCAATGGTCTTTTTTGCTCTCCAATCTCTTTACAATGGACTGCCCCTAGGGCTCATTCTTGTTCCTCCTGTATTCTTAACCCTTAAATTCCACTCATATACCAAAAGACCCAAAATTAACATCTGCAGTCCCCACCTCTCTCCAGAACTCCAAGCTCACCTATCCAACTGCAGACTCAACACGTCTACTTGGGCCGGGCGTGGTGGCTCAAGCCTGTAATCCCAGCACTTTGGGAGGCTGAGGTGGGTGGATCATGAGGTCAAGAGATCAAGACCATCCTGGTCAACATGGTGAAACCCCGTCTCTACTACAAAAAATACCAAACATTAGCTAGGCATGGTGCATGGTGGCACATGCCCGTAATCCCAGCTACTCAGGAGGTTGAGACAGGAGAATTGCCTGAACCCAGGAGGCAGAGGTTGCGACGAGCTGAGATCGCACCATTGCACTCCAGCCTGGGTAACAAGAGCGAAACTCCGTCTCAACAACAACAACAAAAAAACCACTTCTACTTGGATGTCTACTAAGAATCTCCAGCTCAGCATATCCAGAACAGAATTCCTGATCTTCCTTCCTAAACCTGTCTCCCACTCACAGCACAAGGCAATGTCATCCTTCCCCTAGGTCAAAACACTTTGAAAGGCTCATACTCAATTGTCTGTTTTATACACCATATCCAATACATTAGCATATCCAGCTGGTTCTCCCTGCTACTAACCTGGCCCAATCTACCATCATCTCTTGTCTGAATTACTACTACAGCCTCCTAGTCTCTGCACATCCACAGTCTACCCTCGACACAACAGCCAGAGTGGTTTTTTCAAATATAGATCATGCAGGACTAGCTGTAAGGTCTTTTAGGCCAGCTGACAGTGCAATGGACGCCATGTTAACCTCTGTGACCTGCACGGACACTCCAGATGAGTTCTTGGAAAATCTAAAGTAACTGGAAGACTGACGAAATGATCAACCCCTGCGGCACCTACTTAACATTGAGATATTATCTATTGTGTTCCTTATTCCTGCCCTAATTGATCAGGCCATAGAACTTTATAACCGACCTTGGCCGACCCCTATGACCCCCTCCCAGCTTGCAAAACACTGCCAACTGTAACTTATGTAACTTTCCACTGCCCACTCCAAACCTTTAAAACCAACTCCTATCCCACTGCCTCAATGACGCCCTTTTTCCAGCCTCAGCCCGCCTGCACCCAAGTGAATAAACAGCCATGTTGTTCACACAAAGCCTGTTGGAGGGATCTCTTCATTCAGCAAGTGCATTCTAACACTAGCCACATAATTTGTAGGGTTCAGTAAAGAAAACACGGGGCTCCTTGTTGAAAAATTAAACATTAGCCGGGCACGGTGGCTCACACCTGTAATCCTAGCACTTTGGGAGGCTGAGGTGGATCACCTGAGGTCAGGAGTTCAAGACCAGCCTAACCAATATGGTGAAACCCCATCTTTAAGAAATAAAAAAAAAGAAAAACTAAAAATTTCAAGACAGTGATAGCAGAGTATTAAGCCAAATACAGGCACCTAGGCAGCTGCACAGGTCACACACTCATGAAGCAGACCCTGAGAGCATGTCACTCCTCTAATCAATTTGGGAGGTAGGAGGATTGCTTGAGTCCAGGGGTTCAAGACCAGCCTGGGCAACATAGAGGGGACCCCCAACCCCCACAATCTCTACAAATAATAAAAAAGTTAGCCAGTGTGGTGCCCCATGTGGTTGCAGCTACTTTGAGGACTGAGGTGGGAACACCGCTTGAGCCTGGAGGTAATTGTGCCACTGCACTCCAGCCTGAGCAAAAGAGCCCGTCTCAAAACCTTAAAACCATTCCTTATCTGACTCAAAGTCAATCCTAAAGTCATTAGAAGACAGGCATTCCTGCTCTCAACCACACCCTTCGGAGCTCTTTATTTACTGTCATCCAGCCTTACTGACCTCCTTACCACTTTCCCTTCAAATACCCTCTAGGTGCACTCCTCCACCTCCCACCTTTGTAGTCCCAGCTACTTGGAAAGATGAGGGAGGAGAATCGCTTGAACCCGGGAGGTGGAGGTTGCAGTGAGCCGAGACCACACCACTGCACTCCAGCCTGGAGACAGAGTGAGACTCCAAATCTAAAAAAAAAAAAAAAAAAAAAAAAAAAAAGATACGGAGAATTGGCCTCAAGTAACTATCAACTGTTTGCTCAAATATTATGTTCCCAATTAAGTTCAATTCCACAATCTTATTTAAAGCTGTAGTTGTGGACAGGCGTGGTGGCTCATGCCTGTAATCCCAGCACTTTGGGAGGCCAATGCAGTCAGATGACTTGAGGCCAGGAATTTAAGACTAGCCTGGCCAACATGGTGAAATCCTGTCTCTACTAAAAATATAAAAATTAGCTGGGCGGGGTGGCACATGCCTGTGATCCCAGCTACTCAGGAGCCTGAGGCACAAGAATCACTTGAACCTGGGTGGTGGAGGGTGCAGTGAGGCGAGATTGTGCCACTGTGCCCAGGTGACAGAGTGAGATTCCATGTTGAAAACAAAAAACTGTAGCTGCCACCACTCCCTTCCCCTATTCCTGAGTCCACTTCTCCAGTTCTTTTGTGATCGCAGATTATCACATACTATATGATCATACTATATCACATACTATATGATCTACCCATTTATTATGTGGATTATCTGTCTGCCCCCGGTAGAATGTAAGGTTCCCTGTCTGTTTTGTTCACTGTGTATCATGAGTGTCTAGATCAGTGCCAGGTCAATTGGAGGTGCAAAATACATATTTATTGAATGAAGAAACATGTAAGAATGTCCACTAGCACCAATTATGGTGGCAGAGTTGGAAGCAATCTAGGTGTAAAGAAAATTAAAATGTAAAAGGTGGGATATACAGCTGATAGAATACTAA